TACATCACTCACTCTCTATATTTCTGTGCATGTGTATGCTGGTCATACTCATTACCTGTTGCCTAGTGAAAATATTACTCTTACTTCCCTTATGTGATTTTGCAGTAGAGGTGATCGACTGGTGTACAGAGATGAGTGCTGTATTCAACCCAGAAAAGGCAACCATCCTGTGGTGTTCTTTGGTCAACAGGATTGTTAGAGCTGATGTTCCTAGACTCAAAATAAATGGCAGAGACATCAAACTGCGGTACCAGGTAACCACCTTTGACAGAAGTTTGTCTTTCAAGGATCACATTGAGGGGGTTGTGACAAAGGCTCAAAAAAGTCTTAAAGCACTGAAGATTATGCAGCGATGGACATGGAGCAAAGAATGCTTTTCACACTTTACCATCACTTAATCATCTCAGGGATTGATTATGAACTGGGGTTACTCACCATCTAAAAGAGTCAGCTAGAGAAACTGGAGCGCATACAGAATGAAGCTATGCGGGTGATCTTGAGATGTACAAGAGTCACCCCTATTGTGTGCATGCAATACATCCGTGCACTGCCGACTATTGCAGATAGGCTAAAGGTGCTGCAGGCTAAGTCATATCTCACAGTCATACTTTTCTATATCACAAACAAAGAACACCCTCTGTATAAAGCTTTGGCTGTAGGTAAGGGTCAGAGGTTGAAAAGGGGAAAATCGTGGATGGCTCGAGCAGAAGACACAATAAGACAAGTATGCATGCTGGAGAACATTAGGCGAGAAAAGGAGTGGGTCAGAGTACTAGAGGAAAAGTCTGACCTTAGTTAGTTAGTTGGGTTATCATCATTGCACTCCGGACATGTCCATAGGTGCTCAGATCCTCCCCTCAGTATGAACCCCAACGTCCGATGGCTAATAGTACCAGTTCTATGTTGATTAACAAGTCTTCTGACGTGTCTGGTGTGCGTCTCGTTTTTTGCTGTGCCGATCTTAATTCCCAAGTCTGCTATTCTGGCGAGTGATGTGGATTCACTGCCACCAAAGTCCTCTATCCTTCCCATTTCTCTGAGGGAATTGATAATATCAGCATGATCCATAGGCTGACCGTCGGTAGTGATAGTGGATCCAGCCAACCTGTCAGCTCTTTCATTTCCATCGACGCCTGCGTGTCCGGGAACAAAAAAAAAAAAAAGGTGACTCTACGCACAGTGGACTTCTGTAATGATTCAAGCCATTGTCTTCGCACTGATCCTGCCTGAACCCTCCGGATCAAACTCATTGAATCACTGAGTATACATACGCGGGTGTATTTTTGTGTTTAAAGCGAGGCGTCACTGCCATCACCTCCATCGTCATGCTGCTGGTTGTCATGGAGAACACACATGTCGTCATTGTAACTGACTTTGAAAACTCATTTTTTGCCCTAGCTGAGTATTGATAAGAAATTATGCATAAAAATAATTATGAGAAGTTAAAAAGTAAAATAATTTTTCAGCACTAATGCAGTGATGCAAAGTCTTCATTTTTCAAAGGTGGCGTATAATGGATCCGTCTGATTATAGATAAGTGCATCTGCTTCGTCTGAAATTTTCACCGATGAGAGCGTTGACCTCTGCATAACAGCAACAGGATTAAATCTTCTCTACATCGCCTGTTGAGTGTGAAAATATGGAAAATGTACAAATAAACGCCTGAGGCACAGGTATCCATTCTGCACCAGGTATGATGTCGGTTAGGCTTTATTTGCCTAATAACATCAATTCTGCCCGACACTAGCCACGATTTTCCCCTCTTCAGTCTGTCGCCCTTTATACTAAAAAGCGCTTGATGCGAATGGGTGTTTCTTATCAGCACATATTTTGAGGTATGCCCGAGCCCCTCCACATCCTGATCCTTTGGTTCATTGTTGGAAAGTCAAGTAGATACCTCATTGCTCCAAAAAGGTAATGCGTCAAATAGGATTCAATACAGCTGCCACTCACTGAGAGTCGTACAATTCCACTTTCTCTCTCACTATAAACAGTGATGAGAGCTATTGGCCAGAGCGTATTCAATGGGGGAAAGGACCAGACCATAGAATAGAAGTATTAGTAGTCTTTGCTCGATATTGTTGAAGCAGCCATAATCCTCATTGCAGATAGACCTTTGCGTGCTTTTGTTATCACATGGCAACGTACAATTTCTGAATGACAAGCTGCGATAAACCTCACCCCGAGAAACATCATAACGTTGGTTCGGATCAATACATTATCACCCATTTTCACTTCTGGTAAGTCCGACTTGACAATGTGATTGTTCAAAGAGAACCATGACACTGATGCCTTTGAAGGATTGACATAGGCATTGGAACCATCAAGTCTGACCTGTCTAGGGTTATGATCACAATGTCTGGAGTGCAGAGAGTGGCCAGCGGATGCTATGGATTTGGAAGTCCAACAGTTGATTCACGACAATTCACGCCTAGGTGATCTGATTATCTATACAGATGGGTTCGTAGTGAAAGCCAATGGAAAATCTTTAGTGCAAGACAGACTAGCCTACAACAAACCAAAACATCTAGTAAGAATGGAGGTGGTAACTGCACTCTCCAGTGGCTAGAGAACAAGATGTATACACATGTTGTAATTATAACAGAATCTGAAAGCATGCTGAGAAAGGTGAAGACAGGGATGCTTCGAGCAGAGTGGCAAGCTTTACTGGGAAGGTCACGGCGATGCCGGTGTAGTGGGTAAGACAGATTGGCTGGATCTGCACCACTGGGTGGTGAATTAATTTTTGACAAGGCAGATGTGGTCAAAGCAATTTGGGAAAAGCAACGGAATCAGTAGAGAAACAAATTATTATGGCCTGGAGAGAAAAAGGCACTTGGGTGTAACCAGAGGGTCTGGCCGGCTTACTACACTCAGAGGAAAGGCAAGCTGGACATATAACCAGATTGTGATATCACAACGTCTAGTCTGAGAATGGAGGTGGAGGCAGTTACTGCTGCCTTCCGCTGGCTTGAGAATCAGCTGTACACACATGCCGTCATTGTAACTGACTCACAGGAAACTCATTGCACTTCCTAGCTCCTTGTATTCAGGGATAAGAAATTATAAGCACTAAAAATAATTATGAGAAGTTAAAAAGTAAAATAATTTATTCAGCACTAATGCAGTGATGCAAAGTCAACATTTTTCAAAGGTTTATCAATCATAACAAAGAAGCTGTGAACATGATTAAAATATACACAAGTAAAGATATATGAGATAACATAATATACAAAGAAACACAACGAAAATGAATGGAATATTGAAACAGAACTAAATGTATCCTACATAGAATAGTGCATTGATTTAAATTATGGCAAGATTATTATAATATCGCCAAATAATAACTCCCTGAGAAATACATTTAGTTAAGAAATTCAATGTCAGCCATGACACAAACCAACTATTTCAGATATAAAAAGTAATAATATCATTATATTTAAAATGGGCTTTCGAATTATAATTCAAGAAAAATACTATGATTATTTAAATTATCAAGAAATATAATATAACTCACGTATAAAGAGAGTCACAAAGCAAAAAAGGTAAGCGTCAAATAGGATTCTAAATACAGCTGCCACTCACTGAGAGGTACAATTCCACTTTCTCTCTCTACTATAAACAGTGATGAGAGCTATTATCACAGCACTCTGAACAGATCCAAAGAGGCTCCGATCTCCTCCTCAGCAGTTCCATAAGTGCAAACCGACTATCGAAGAATTGTTGAATCATCATCATCCTGTCAAATGTCACATAGGATCCTGAATACAGCTGCCACTCACAGCAAGGTACAATTTCTCATTCTCTCTCTACCATAAAGTGATTAATGAGAACTATTAACACATCCCTTTGGACAAATCCATAGATGCTCCTATCTCCTCCTCAATAGCTCTGTAAGTGTAAAATGACTGTTGAATCATCATCCTGTCAGCTGTTGATACCAGTTGTTGTCCACTGTAGACCCACTACCCATAACACACGCGTTGTAAAAAATGATCAATTAGGAGTTAGCTGAAAGCAGATGTGTGAGGCTGACAGGTGCTGTAAACTACAACACAACACATCAACCATCCTTTTAAGCGTGACTTTAGAAAACGAAGACTAATTACTTTGTTGCATTCTCTACACACACACACACAAAATCCCTCACAATGTACACAATATAATGGTTTAAAAAATACCCCAAATCCATTACTCAATACATTATAGGGCATGAGGCTGAAAATATTTGCATTATGTAGTGTTAATAATTGACATATTTGGTCAGAATGACTGGACAGGATTGCATCCATGATATCAGAAGGATTGCAGAGGATAGAACAGAATGCAGGAACAGACGGCAAGCCATGTTTGACATATAATGCACAACAGGATGAGGATGATGATAATGACAGATTGACAAAAGTTTGGGTACATCTAGCACACAGTAAAAGGTTGTCATTTATGTTTAAAAAAAAAAAAACTTGTCAAAGTGCTAAAATATTTGCTACATTTTAACAGAATAAATTTTTATTCAACTGTGTGAAATACAAAATCATTCATTAGTCAATAAGATATTAGTATTCTAGGTCAGGAAGCATTAAAGTAAACAATGAGATAAACAGAATCACAGAAACAGAGCATGATCGGTTAAAGCAATAAATATTTATGGTAGAAGGTGTTATTTTATAAACTAGTGATAAATAGAGCGCTGTTGTGGCTTCAAATTCGCATGGAACCAGATTTTTCTCATTTTTAAACATGACCTTGGCTCCCAGGCCAACCCAGCCTTAACTGAGTACCAGGTATAGTCCAAGGAAGCAAAGGTGGCTGGATAATGTTGACCACATCTCCCTTCGAGAGTTCACTGATCTACAAACATTTGAGTCTAGCCTTACATGCCTGACGCACCACTAGGATCTTTTTACTTACTCAGTAAAGTAGCTAGACAACTGGCTGGTTAATCAAGTATAATAAATGTTTATTTTTACATGGAAACTATTGAAGTTTCTGTGTTGAAGTCAAAAGTCTGATTCAGAATTGTCAGAATCCCATCCACTAGTTTCTATGACACCATTTTCAAAGTCTACTTCAACATTGTATTGATAACCTGGGTCACCAGGCCGCTTTCTTCTCTTTTCAAAGGAACCATCCATAATCAGCTTCTTCCTCTGAAGTGTCTCAGGGTCTACTTTGTTTAAATTTTCCTCTGGGCTGAGTGTATCCATTGCATTATTACGAGCAATGCTCGCTTCAAGACTAAGGCCACCCAGCTTGTCTTTAATGATAGTTAATAAACGCTGTAGTTGTGCGACAGAAAGCAGCCGCACAAATTTGGAGTGACGAGGGTTCGAGTTTAAATCCTCTATCATGTGGTCAATACCTGTGTTTTTGTTAAAGTTTCGCAATGGCATTGAGCGTCGGCGAATCTGTCCCGATTGTTTATAGCATAGAACCAATGCTGGAGGATCAAACTTCACTCCGCATTTAATAAGCTCTATCGTATCTGTTACGCTGGCTGTGTTCATGATAAGACTGTGATGCTGATGTTAGTAGGTTATCATTCTTCTGTCTGTGTCCTTGACTAACTGTAATAAAATAAATATTTGATTTAAACATGTTACCAAGGCACATTTATTATATACCAGAGCTATTCAACAAAGCTTCTTCTTCTTCTTCTGCCTTTCTAACCCCCAATGGAACATAGGTCCTCAACCAACTCAAGTTGTTCTATCCTGTTTTTATTTCAAATTTATTTGCTAGCTTTCCCTCATGAAGAACTCAACATTTCATGTCTTTATATTTTGTCTTTACTAAGTTCATTATTTTCTGTGAGATTCAATAGTGCCCCATTAATTTCCAGAGAGATTCCCTATCAATGCTATCAAGAGCTTTTTCATAGACTATGAATGAAAAACCTAACTCAGATTGTTCTTCTTTTGCCTTTCTGGGGTAAGTCATGGACCAAAGGAACATAGGCCCCCAACCATAGTCATTTCTATCCTGCCTTTTTATTTCAAATGTATTTGCTAGCTTTCCCTCGTGAAGAACTCGACACATTTCATGTCTTTTATCTATTCATAATCTTCTTGGTCTGCTCCCAGTTTTTTGTCCTAGGTCTTATTAGTATCCATTATCATGATACCAGCAATTGAGATATTGATGTTACGAGATAAAGAATTTCATTTTAGCAGATGTTGTAGGGCAGGGTCACCCGCTGGCCAAATCTAGCCTGTGGAGGCCTGGCAAGAGATCTGTGGATCATTGTCAACTATACTGTTTTAATGAACTTTATATGCTGCAGCTCTGGTCTGGGAGGATCCCTGTTGTAGGGCATAGTATACTTTTTTTTCCCAGACTGTATTTTTTCTCTTAGTATTGGAGCAGCTGAAGTTTGTACTCAAGTGCTTATACATTTCTATCCCTTTGGCTGTTATATTATCGTTCTGTATGTGGTTAGAGTTTTTATTCTTTCCCTCTCTTATTTGTCTGTTTTCTTATCTTTAGTGGTTGTGTAACTTTCCTAATTTTAGTCTGAATTATTACTTTCTATTTTGCTGGTACTCCACTATGCATATCAGACAGAATATCAATAGTATTTTAGTAGATTTTGATTTTGGTGGTTGGTTTTGTTGTTGTGCTGTAATCTTCAAATGCAGGTATGAGTCTTTTCCCTATAAAGGTGCCGTTACTCACCACAGTGTGTCTAAAATGGGTGCTGGTAGTGACCACAAAGTGTCTAAAAAAAAAAGCACTGGGAAATAAAATGATGCCAAGAAAAGGTGCCGGCACAGCATATGGTTACAAACTGCCCCACCTAAAAGCCCTGGTTAATATAAAGTAAAGGACCCTTTTCCATGCCTTTAGGCATACAGGGCTAAACAAATATTTTATACGCGAATCTGTACTCAGTGGGTGATCGGTCAACATCATGCTGGCTGCCTTTACTTCCCAAGATTTCACCTGGTAACCATTAAAGTCTCACTCCGTCACGACCTGAACCAACGACCATGGCGAGCGTCTAGCAGCCACACTAATGGCTCCCCAGGGTAATGTAATATACACTGTAGATAAATTACCTGTGCTTTACAGGCACAGCAGGTATAGCGATAGCTGGAGGTGCCCCAATATAAATCCTTTGTACGGTGGAACCAGGTCTCCTTCAGTCACTGCGTGTGAAATCTTCATGGCGCAGTCCAGGATGGGCAATATAGAAAAAAAAAATTACCTTCGTTGTCATCATCTACCAGCAGTTGCAGCTTAAGTTTTAAGTTAAAAACCAAGCCTAGACTTAGACTACACTGCAATAGTATTTTAATTAGATTAAAACATTCATTATTTTTATACAAGCTTTGTAAGATTAGTTATAGGTAAATACCTTTTCTTGTAAACTCCAAAAATAATTAAATGTATACAAGGCACTATGAGGATAGATAGGAAGCAAAGAAAAACTCGAGGACGATGCAGTCAAATTTTGCATAGTTACAACAGCTAAAGTGGTTGTTATAATGTAAAATTAATATTAAAACTTTACAGTTATGGAACAATAATTTAAAACAATATGCAAACCCAGCATACAAATAATTTTATACAACTTAAAATATTCACGTAATTATATTTTAATTATAGTTTACATCCAAAACAAAAACAACGGCAGAAGAGGAAGAAAATTATGTATTTAAGTCGTGCAATTGACAACGGTAGTCTAGTTTTACTGTGAGGAGGGCTTGCGTCCGAGAGGAAGTTTTCACACAAGATGGAGTCGAAAGTAACGATTCCACCGATTTAGGCTTAGAACATTTGCAAAACAGCGTTTGTAGAAAATACCAGAGCCTTTAGCGATTGTTCGTCAAGTGAGTTTTAATAAAGCTTAACAGCCGCAGTGGAATTAGTTATTTTTTATTGTACGGCAAGGGTATTTTGATTTTTATGTGACATTTTAGTGTTCAAATTTCTTTCATGAAAATAAAATTCGCAAGCAGTGTCGTGTACAGTACGGTGAACTCACTGTACCATAGTACATTGTCATGTTATGTTACATTAGAATTGTAAAGTGCTAGGTAAGATTAGTAAGTAAAGAGAAAATCTGATTAGAGTTAGAATCTATTTGCTTAAAGTGCTAATTTTTAAACACACGTAAAGACAGTTGTGTCGGTTTCTTCAGGAAATAATTTTGAACTCTATAAATCATAATCGTAATTTAAGTCAGCCACTTTTCATGTGCTCATATGCCAGCTGATGAGTTAATTTATCTGTGACCGTTTCTTTAATTTACCCTATCTTAGTTCCCAGTAAACATTTCCGGTTTTAGCCAAGTCTACACTACTTGCAAACTGCAGTAGATAATATTGACAATACTTGTTCTGCTCTTTAACCCTAGTAATTTTAGTTCTCCCTCTCTCCACACACACACCTATTCCCCCTCCTTGCTGCTGTTTCTCTGCACATAATCTCTCTTTCCTATCTTATCTCACCTAAACCATTCCTGTGTATAAGTAACTAACTGTATGTGCGAGTGTAAATGTGACCCCTTTTCATGCTAAGAAAGCCAGAATTACAAATAATCAAATATATCAAATTTTCTGTAGACTTTCTAATCACACTGATTTATTAATGTTATATTTTAGCTGTAAAGCAGATAATGACCTCTGTCTGAAATATTCTATTGATAAAATTTCTGTAAATTTTAAATACTGTATATATCAAGCTGTTGATTGTTTCATATATAGTCTAATAACATTCTGTTATGAAGCTGTGTTGTCTTCTTAACTTCTAGACCTTTTGTAAACATCTTATAAAATAGTTTTTAGTCTTTCTAGGTATTTCATAACCCTTGCATTTCACTTAGATTCAAATTGTTTATGACTACTTCTGTTCTATTCTATGCAGCTTTTCAAAATGTGGCCAATGCTTGTTGATTACACAAAAGATGAGTCTAAGAGAATTTTACGACGCTTGGAGTTGGAAGCGTATGCATCCATTGTCTCTGTTTTTCGGGCTCAAGGAGACTTGTGTAAAGAGAAGAAGAAGACTCTTCAGGATCTTCAACAAATATTAAGGTATAATTCAGTGATTCAGTACATGTTACGGTATCATTCAGTGATTCAATACATATTACTTTATAATTAAGAAACTGTTAACAGCATGAATAATAAAATATTTAGTGTAATAACTCAGTAAATATCTATAAAAGTATGAGTCAAGACGTGGGCAGTGTAAATTAGTAAAAAAACTTGTTTGGAAGCTGCGGAGATATGGTTTTTATAGATGATTGATGTGAATACCCTGGACAGATAACAAGAGTAATGAAGATGTCTTAAAAGAAACTGGCTAACGAAGAGAACTGATTGCCCATATCTGAAAGAGACAGTCTACATTCTTTGGTCATGTGATAAGGAGATATATGGAGTACATCGTGACAGTAAGAAAGCTGGAGGGGAGGAAAGGGAAACTGAGAGAAAAGATGCTGGACAGTTTGACATCATAGCATGGAGGATCATCTGTGTCAGAGTTTATTGAAAGTGTAGAAGACAGACCTTGTAGATAGACATGACTACCAATGCCAGATGGCATGGACTTTAAGAAGAAGTCAGGAAATATTATAGTTATGATTCCAGAAATATTACACCATGATTCACTGTGTCAAGTGTAATTCAACTAATGTTAGGTTATGATTATTAAATGACAAACATGAATAAGCCAGTCTTATAATTCAGTTGCAGTATTGTGGATATTCCATAGAAAAGTCCCTTACCTTTTCCATAATATGTAATAATTTTTTATTTTTTAAAAATCACGTATGCCTCTAGTGTGCTATACCTGTTATTGCTCTTCCCTGAAAACCACGGTTCTGCTAAATTCCTCTCTCCCTGTCTGTCTGTGTGTATGTGCTGAGGAGGAATATTCTTTTACTGAATCCTTTCACCCCATGATTCTTTAAAAAAAAATGGTTTGTGAACCATATTCCAGAAATGTATTCTTAAAATGCAGCCATTTTAGAGGGTGTGTGTAAAAAAAAGGGGGGGGGGCGATGGTATTCAGTAAACACAAACAGAATAAAGCATTAAATGGAATACATTTACGAGATCCTAAAAACACACAGTATATATCATGTGAGACATGCCATGACCCCAACATTGACCTCCATCACTAAGACTTAAGGGGCAATTTAAAATTAGCTTGGCTTTAAAAAAAAATGCAAACGGGGTCATGAGGAAACCCTTCTAAATACTGATTTTCAATTACTATATTCATAACCTGGCCTTTTAAGCGTGGGATGGGTACACGTTATAACCAAGGCATTTCATTAACACTTTTTCAGAAAAGGTTACTTCTGAAATGACCATATGTCAGCATTTATTGGGCTATAACCCAACTGGAAGTAATGAGATCTAGCCTTTTTAGGGGGATAAGGTTAATATTTGTTCTAAGCTCACTCACAGTTTTAGCAGTCAGCAACAATGTCAACACAGATACGGCTCCTGCTGTACACAGCTGGCACAAGACCCTAAATCATCTCTGAGGTTTT